AACAGGACACAGTGCGTATTCTTGTATTTCAGGTAGCTAAACACAGAGACAAGCACATATATACTTGATAACTGGGTTTCAGGTAGATATACGAAAAATATTTGTTCCTTGTAAAAGAAGTAAACTGAACCTACTTTGCTAAAGAAATAAATGACATATAATTTCAGCCAATCCTGTTTTTGCTCATACCCTAGAAAAAATCTACAGGGACAAGGTCCTATCCTAGGCTTAGAGCTGAGCTAGACCCCTACCCCTAACTTATTTCGGAATGATATAGAGAGCTACGAATCAGGCTTTCAGAGTGGTGGCAAGCAGGGCAAGAAGATGAAGTCCAATCTGACCCTAGGCAGATTGTTTACATCTTTCTCAGGTTTGACATGACATTAGAGCTCTCGTACTTACTGATGAGTTCAAGCCTTAGAAGCATGTGAAGGAATACGTATTAAGAAATGATTTATCTGTTGCCATCAAAAAACAAAATTCAAAACCGCCAATTTAGTCAGCTAACCAACGGTCTGACAATGAGTCATAAACCAAATCCACTTACCCCTGCACTTAGTCTCATTGACTAATATGGTGTTCAAAATAGGAACCAAACAGATTGTTGCAATCACAAAAAAGAAAAGGATAAAAGACTCCATTAAATGCTGATTAGAAGCTGAAATGAGATGAGCTCATTTTCTAGAGGCTACCACTCTTATATGTGCAGTTTATATCTAGCTTTATATCATTGGACTGATTAGAGGCTGAAACATAACCCTTGGCTTAGCAAAATTGTTTTCCTTATATTGGAAAAGCAAAAATTAAATACTACAAAGTAACTGGAACTACATCCAGGTATTTATACTTGCCACTTTATTCCAATGCATTTAGTAGTTATAATTACACACCTGACTTAATACAGTTGAAAAGTTTAAATTTTTCTTTTTTTGTTCTAAATGAAACTAATCAAAGATGTGACCAAATAAAATTGTACCAAAGACTTTTCAGATGATGTCCACAAAAACGTGAGGGAAAAAGGAGAGATTGAGAAATTTTCCTATTTCTTGGGGGTCTAAAGAGGAAATGCAAAGGGAACTGCTGATGCAAATTGAAAGAAGATTGGGAGGATGTAGCAAACAAAATCAAAGGAGAACTGACAGAGAAAAAGGAGGGAAATAAATAACAGACTGTGAGATTCAAAGGTTTGAGTAAGAGTCACAACACCAATGGCAATAAAGGGAAAAGATCATTCTAGGAGTAAGGTAATATGGATGTGGTTTGATCTACCGCATAGGGAATTCTCAGGTGTCATTTGGGTTAAACATTTGAGACAGAAAAAAAGCTTTCTTTCTTCGCTTTTGGTCGACAAACAATTTTACAAAAAGAAAATGAGAATAATTCGGCAGAACTCTTTCAAATTTTTTAACAAAACGTGATTCAAATCCCAGAAGAGGCAAGAAAGCAAAAGGTTTACCCATCTGTCTGAATCTTGGGGGATTGGGGGACAGAGTTAGCCGATATCTGTGACAGGAAGTAGCAGGTAAATGGTTTAGCCGAGATGCGCGCAAACTAGCTTGAACACCACCGTTATCAAAAGAAACTAAACCAAACACCACTCTACCGACTTACTCTAATAAAATTATTTCAACTAATCAGGAAAAGGAAACTTACTCACGTCATATAGCAGAACATCAAACAAACATATCAAATTGTCACCTAGTGCTTATTCTCTTGCCCTACTTGGTGACCCACCCCTTTCCTGCCGTGACTCTATTAATCAAGTCAAAGGACAAAAGACAATGCTGAGATCGGATATTACACCGTGATCAACTTTAGATGCACAACGCAATACGCATCAAGCTTCTCATACTGAAGTTGTGACAAACTACCATAGATGCGTGGTTCCTTAAGTTACTGAGTTCAGTCAATCAACTAAACCACAATCTCAAACTATTTGGGGTCAGTCATATAAATCTCATATGTCCAATTCCATTATTTTCGGGCCAATTAGCCAAATCATTCCAATACTGGTAAATAATTTGTCTTTTAAGGTTTAATCAAAGATACACTGAAACTAACAATTCTTACCACTCACGCTTATCTTCTATTGCTTACTTCCTAAGTTGCTGACAGTAAAATGAAAAATTTAACTAGAAGAAATACATAAAAAGATTTTCCAAAATACCTTACCTGAAAATATCACTTTGGTCAAGCATGAATACTGCAGGGGTGTCCGACGCACCATCCTCAACCACCACAATCTTTCCAAGCCTCCACCTTTCCCCTTCTTCCCACATATCCCCAAGCTCCCTCCACTTCCCACCACCACCATTTTTCATCTCCATCACTACAACATCCCTATAATACTGATCCACAGGAAACACACCCGAGACTGTCCTCGACTCGCCATACCCACCCATCACCCAAAACTCCTTCTCCTCTTCCCCCTCCCCATTCCCAACAAAGAACCCAACACACCCAGCTCTAAACCTAGGCAATCCATCCAATGGGACCCACTCATCTTTCCCAATATCATACATCTCCACTGAACTGATCCTACTACCCGCTGCCGCAAACATCGTGTGCCGGGACCCACCACCCGCCACTAGAATCTTATCCGAATTGGGCGTGGCAGCACATGCGAAGCTCCCCCTAGGGTTGATCATAGAGGATAAATTCTCCCACGTGAAACTCACAAAATCAAACCGAAAAGCCGACGAGGACGGACACGGGCAATCAAGAGGGAACGAGCGGGTATCGAAAAGGGACCCACCTAAGACATACAAATAAGAACCAACAGAGATTGAGGTGAAATTACAAAGGCCATATACATGGGGATTACAGGGCATAGGTGGGAGTGGGGACCACGCGAGATTTACAGGGTCAAAGAGGTAAGGGGAAGCGATTAAAGGATCCTGTGGAAATATACAGAGGAGTGGGGAGAGAGTAGTGGGTGGGAGGTGCTTTTGCCGCAGAGAAATGATAGTTTTCGAAGAGAAAAACAGTTTCCATGATTTGCAGATGGATTTGAGACGTGAATGATGAGAGTAAGGAACGAATACTAGTATTAGCGCTGCTAAATCGTTTGGTAAACCAGGGATTATGGTTAGGTTTAGGGTTTGTACTTGCGATTGTTCATTTGAAACTGTTGAAGATGGAGGAGCCATGGCTTATGAACAATTAATGGTTGAAGAATGAAAATCCCTACTTTATGTACAAAGAGAATTGGACATACAAACGGAGACAGGAGCAGAATCCTGGCCTCTTCACACACTTTACTGCTATCTCATTTATGGCGGTTGTGGCAATTGAGGCACAATTTGGAGCGAAAGTGCTAGTCGCTGACTCACTACGCGAGGGGGCGACTTGTGGAGTTGGCTTCTACATCAAGAACTTTTGACTTGGGGGATAACATAACAAAAAATATACACATACAACAAAAAAACTTTTGACTTTGAGAAAAAGAACAATAAACTATTAGAATTTAGATATAACACATTTAATACAAATATGGGTCAATTAGTTTTTTGGCCTTTTACAAACTTAATTTTAGTTTTATAACTCTATTTTTTTTTTTTTTTTTTTTTACACATGAGAGATTTACTTTTATACGTAGGAGATCTTTCTTTTACACGTAAAAAATTTAAAAAAGATTTTTTCTTAAATTCAATATTGTAAAAGGCCTTGTAGGCCTAAAACCTCAATATTTATTGCGATACAACAAAATCTCAGAAAGTGATTATGGTTGACAATATGAATTTTACACGCTGTATATCTTTTAAGTTCTTTTTAGAGTTATTTTCTACTCTTAATTTATACCTCCTCATATATACTCATTTAAGATGTGATGAAAATTTTTGTCCACTTAACACTACACTTGCATAGTATGTCTCAAAGAACAATTGATTTGAAGGATAAAATTTAATTTCAGTACAAATGCTTACAAAATGTTTGGTTAGTTTCTAGTAACAAAAATCTATATTAATATATTAATCTCTTCAAGGGTGGATTTATAGCCCAATATATGGGCCACGTGTATATATATACACATTTTTTAGAATTGATCTAATATTATTTGTTGGTCTCATGATCCATAAAGGCTAAATAATGTACTTGGTTGAATGTTAACTTAGTATTAGTAATAGTAGTCTTACTTACACAAGACTAAAAGGATTATTTAATACAAACTAGAACAGAAAATAAGAATGCATCAGCGATCTGAATAAGAATATCTAAAGATAATAATGCTCTTATGGTGAGCAATCCCTACATAACAATATACTTATTATTCACATTAATTATAATATATAATCCATGCACTATTATTATTAGACGCTTAACAATGTTCATTGCATAAACAATCTTCTGCATTTGAAGCATGCATATATGTAATTAAACGGTAAAACAACGACCTCTTCTGTTGTATGATATTGCTGACTTCTTTCCCTTTACTTTGTGAACCAAAACAACTACGCACAAAAAAAGTGCATATTGTTATTAATGTGAGAGTAGGAATCAAGATTAACTAATTGGCAGAAAAAATAGATATGCACCCGGTCAAATTTACATAATCACAAATTTTGAACTTTTATTTCATCTGATGTAATAAGGAAAGGTTCAACCATGATGAAATTTTTTGGTCATGAGAACAATATCTGTGTAAATTATTATGTGGGGCTACCTTTTCATATATCAGGTTTTTCCATAACAGATATCTAAGCATAATGTGATCTACAAAAATGACCTATATATGGCAAGAAAAGGACCTGCACTTGAAATCATGAGCCCTTAATTAATTCCTTGGCTAAGCAATCTCTTTTAGTGGAAAGAGACATTGCTATAAAAATTAGCACGTCTAAAAAAACTCATATATAGTTGCACAGGCTAGAAATATTTATAAGTATGTCTTAACTTCATCAATAGAATAAATAAAGCAACCTCTGCTGCTACACTTAGCTCTCAACTTTTTCTTTCTCAAACATCTCTCTAGATCTCTTTCAAAAAGAAGCAGCTAATTCATGGAGAAAATGAAGTTCAAAGAAAACACACACATAGAAGTATGGGATTCTGCCTCAATATGGCCAGAAAGAGACTATAAGTGTAGCTTTTGCAAGAGAGAATTCAGGTCTGCACAAGCACTAGGGGGTCATATGAATGTTCATAGAAGGGATAGGGCAAAACTCAGACTCTTACACTACTCTCCTTCACCTTCATGTGATAATGTTAATTCATCTCAAAAAAAACCTAACCATAATCCTACGATTTCATCATCATCCTCTTCGTCGTCTCCTAGGTTTAATTTCACTGGGAGCTATCTAAAGGGAGATGTAGCTAAGAGTACTCTAAGTAAGAAAGTTTCTCTTGGAGTGAAGCAGCCAGCAGATTTTGCCAAGAGAAACAATGAAAATAGGGTTTGGAAAAAGAGAGAGTTTGTTACATTGGACTTTAACATGGGGTTGATCCAAACAAAGGAGGATTTAGATATGGATTTGGATTTGGAACTTCGCCTTGGTTACTCTTAGTCCTAGATTTATCTAATTATCAAGTTCTTGTATCTTCTTATTTTTTCTTTTCTCTAAATTTCCATTAGATTATCTTAGCTTAGTATTTTCTTCTCTTTAGCTTCTTGATGGATGTTTTCCTGGGATTTTCTATCCAGTTCGATCGATATATATGTTAATCTTGGATTTGAAACGGCCACGGGCCGATATATTAGGATGGCAATGTCATTTATCTTTCCTTTAATTTGAACAATTTTACTTTTGCAAAATTATTTGCAACGATGGTATTAGTTCCATCCATTCTACACTTGATTTTTACGAAAATAGACGTTGGCTTTGGAGGATCACTTTGAAGTAAAAACTTACACCAAAATACATGTCCTGCGCACACACATATTCCCTCCGTTTCAATTTAGATGAGGTAGTTTGACTCGGCACGGAGTTTAAGAAGAAAAAGAAGACTTTTGAAACTTGTGGTCTTAAAAGCTTAAGGGGTAAAAGTTTTGTGGGACCATGACATTTTTGTTGTTATAAAAGCTTCTCATTAAGGGTAAAACGAGTAAAATGAAGAGTTTAAAGTTGAATTATTTCCAAATTTAGAAATGTGTCATTTATTTTGGAACAAACTAAAAATGAAAGTATCTCATCTAATTTAAAACAGATGGAACAGTTAATTGATATGTATTTTCACTTTAATTACTTACTACTAAAGTTAAATTATTTGATTTGACGTTTGCGCGTAAGATTTACCTCACCTTAAATCCTATGCACCACTGACCATTCAAAAGTTTAATTAATACATCTTCCAGCAGTTTTCTATTTTGCACTTAAGTACGAAAACAGGAGTCTAAAATTTAAATTAGTTGGAACAAAGCACTAGCGGGAAGCTTTCCTCGGAACTATTTTCAAATATATGTGTCTAAATCTCACATTAGAAAACCTTCTACTTTTGTATTATTTGTTGGAAAAGATACGAATACATTAACTTAGAGATAGAGTAAACAAACGGAATTAGAGAAAAGACCAACGCTGACCGCGGCTGCAAGAATAGTTGAAGCCATAGCTAATAGAAAAAGGATTTTCAAGTGACATTGTAGCTAGTATGTGCATCAAGGACAAAGAACGTAGAGTTTTGTTGGATGAGGAGCTTATTCGTCAGAGATGAAAGACCTACTTCCATAGTCTTTTGAACGAGGAGGGGGACATGAGCATTGTACTGGGTGATTTGGAACTCTCCGGGAGTCGTTGTGACTTTGGATATTGTAAGTGGATTAGAGTTGATGAAATTGAGGGGGCTATGCGTAAGATGAGCAGGGATAAAGCGACCGGACCGGATGAAATTCCGGTGGAGTTTTGGAAGAGTGCAGGTAAGGCAGGCTTGGAGTAGCTCACTGGGTTATTTAATGTCATTTTTAGAATGAAGAAGATGCCCAAAGAGAAGTGGAGCACGATGGTTCTTGTATACAAGAACAAGGGTGATATCCAAAATGAAAATAACTATCGGGGTATCAAGCTATTTAGCCATACTATGAAATTAGAGTAGTAGAGCTAAGGATGAGAAGGAGTGTGTCTATTTCCGAGAACCAGTTTGGGTTTATGCAGGGGCGTTTAACTACAGAAGCCATCCACCTTGTTAGGAGATTGATGGAGCAGTATAGGGAGGGAAAGAAATACTTGCATATGGTGTTCATTGACTTAGAAAAAGTGTACAATAAAGTTCCGAGGGAGGTTTTGTGGAGATGTTTGGAGGCTAGAGGTATACTTGTTGCCTATGTTAGGTTGATTAAGGACATGTATGATGGAGTAAAGACCCGAGTGAGGACGGTGGGTGGGGACTCGGACCATTTTCCGGTTATGATGGGATTGCATCAGGGGTCGACACTCAGCCCTTTTTTGCTTGCTCTGGTGATGGACGCACTGACGCGCCACATCCAAGGGGAGGTGCCGTGGTGCATGCTATTTGCAGATGATATTGTATTGATTGACGAGACGCGAGACGGTGTGAACACGCAATTATAGGTACGGAGGCAGACCCTGTAATCTAAAGGTTTCAAGTTGAGCAGGACCAAGACAGAATACTTATAGTGTAAGTTCAGTGGCGATACTCAAGGAGGGGAAGGGGAGGTGAGGCTGGACTCGCAAGTCATACCTAGGAGAGGGAGTTTTAAGTACCATGGGTCTATTATTCAGAGGGATGGGGAGATTGATAAAAATGTCACACATCATATTGGGGCGGGATGGATGTAATGGAGACTCGCTTAAGATATTTTGTGTGTTAAGAAGGTGCCACCGAAACTTAAGGGTAAGTTCTACAGAGTGGTGGTTAGACCAACGATATTGTGTGGGGCTGAGTGTTGGCCAGTCAAGATCACTCATGTCCAGAAGATGAAGGTAGCAGAGATGAGAATGTTGAGATGGATGTGCGGTCACACCAAGTTAGATAGGATCAGAAATGATGTTATTCGCGACAAGGTGGGTGTGGCCCCTATTGAGAATAAGATACGGGAAGTGCGGCTTAGGTCTTTTGGTCATGTGAGGAGGAGGAGCACAGACGCCTCGGTGAGGAGGTGTGAAAGGTTGACATTGGAGGGCCTACGGAGAGGTAGAGGTAGACCAAAGAAGAGGTGAAGCGAGGTGATTAGGCAAGACATGACACAACTTCAGCTAACTGGGGACATGACCCTTGATAGGAAGGTATGGAGGTCGAGGATAAGGGTACGTAGTAGAGTAGGTAGTCTAGAGTGTTCATAACATTAGTATTGACTCGCAGTCTCGCTTTCTGTTGATAGTAGGTTTTTATGCCTAACTGTTGTGTTCTTTTATTGTTGATCACCTTACTGAGCTTGTTATTTTTATTCTGCTTTTATATGACTTTTTGGTACTGTCCCTTCTTATCTATATTTTCATTAATGTGGTGCTTATACTTTCCTGAGCCGAGGATCTATTGGAAACATCCTCTTTATTCTCACAAGGTAGGGATAAGGTCTACGTATACACTACCCTCCCTAGACCGTGGGATAATACTGGGTATGTTGTTGTTGTTGTTGTTGTTGTTATATTGTAGCTAGTATGTATCCTGGCTAGGAATTTGTTATAACACAATTGCTACAATTAGTTTCCATTATTACCATGAAATCAGTAATCAGCTAGAATATAGAAGTTATTAAGAATAATATCAAAATCCAATTAATTAAGTTCACCAATAACCGTGCATCATCGCTTCATTTTCCGAGAGAAAATTTCAAGAACAAAAATTCGAATGCAAAAGGACCAATTATCTTGTATTATTTGGATTTTCAGATCAACATTTTCTTGCCTTTAATTAACTAGATACACAACCACAGTCTAACCACCTACCTTACACATCATGAATTCTTATTTCCCTTGAAGGTGAAATGGGAGTGCTTGTTTGTAAAGTCAGTGTTTCCTAGGAAGGAAAGCAATCATGAAAATTTTAGTCATGATGAATTATACTAATGAAACTACTGCAACACGAAAATTTAAAGACCAAAAAGAAAAACAAAGAAGTACAAAATTCTAATACTAATAGAGGGTATCTCTGTACCAAATAATTATATAAAACAGATAATAAAAATAAATTAAATAAAACAGCTGAACATTAGATGATGACCAATATATGAGAATATTATTCTACTACATGCTGAAATCTTGCCTCTCACCAACATAGGATGGTGATATTTGTTAGGCATCACTTGAGTTGGTACCCTACACATGATGGAAAACCAAAAAAGAAACCCTGCCTGCTCGAAAATGACTTGAGTTGGTATTTTGGTGTTATTGCCTTTTTTCTGCTAGCAGATAATTGTACCATTTCCCAACAAACAAATGCATCTCTTTCATGACTGCATGTTCCCAACAAGTTTAAAATGTCTTTGCTTAAAGTTGTCAGTGGTATCATGCATATATATAATATGCCCTCTTCAATTCCTCTGCACCACCACACACATACACACACACACAAAAATGCTAAGAAGGACAGGGGACGCAGGTGAAAATTAGTGAAAGACAAAAGAAGAAATATTAGTGGGGCTGAAGGGAAGCTGCAACAATGTTATGTTTTAGCGAAAGAAGAGAAAAAGAATTGTAAGGCAAACGTCATCCCACAATTATGTTGTATATGTTCTTTACAAAATTCACAATAATGCAAAAGAGTACTCTTTTTCTCAGAGAGTAGAGAGAAAGAACTGCAGTTTAGTACGTACAATAGTGTAAATGCAAGTCCCTTTCTCTTCATTCACTCATTTCTACCACTTGTGCTCGACTGAATTATTACCCAGTCAAAGCAACTTTTTTGCAGCCCTAGGCATATATAAAATGTTCGCCCTACACATGCATATCCATCACATAAAAGGAAACTTAAATGAACTCCATACTATACCAAAATTCGTGAACAGGCTTTTCAAAAGGTATTCTCCAACCCAAATACAACTAGATGAAAAGCAGAGTAAAGTTTTATATGAAAAGTTATGACCTAATAGAATGTGCTTAGTAAATTAGAAAATATAGAGTAGAACAAGAATGCTTACTGTCCATTTTTGTTTACTTAGCATAAGTATCATATGAGTTGCACAGTTCTATTAAAGCTTCTATCCGTATATCTGTAACGCCCTCACATTGATAGCTTTATACCAAAAACAGATTTGGCTTTTTCTATCATCAATTCATCTAACTACAAACAACTATATTGTTGAGCTGAGCTTATATTAGTTTTGTTGATTAACAAATAGTTGTGAAAGAACCAGGTCTCTTGAAGTATGTTGATCACAAGTCGAAGGTTGTTTCCTACTGCAAGTTGGTTTGAGCTGGAAAAATCGATTTGTGTTGATAGTCGGAAGGATTTTCTTCGTGGGCTATAAGGAAGAGTCCGGAACCGAAGTCGCCACTAATTGAACTCAAACGATCACAATAGGGGAAAAAAGGAGAGAACCAATATACATATAGCGCATGAAATATATGTGTTATATAACATTTGGCTAACCGCCAAATGTAACATCCATTTG